TAGAACTTTATATTACATTTTAAAATGAGCTGCATAGGTACAATAACTTAAACAAGAGTAGAAACATATACAGTATGTTCTAACAAAAATAACCTTAAATATGTATCAGTATACAAAAATCCATACCTATGTAAAAGTTTTTGAGACTAGTAGTTGTTTTTTTTAGTTTGAAAGTAGATTCAATAATCTACCGTTTTATCCTATCATTTCTGTATCTCCCCTTTTTCTCTTCAGAAAGATTCCTGACTCTAATCTCCTTTGTTGAGTTTTTTTTTCTGACCGTGACCAAAAATAATTTGTAACCAACCCCCCTAAACAATGACAAACCCTTCATAAATCACTGAATGACCAAAACCCACCCACACCACTTCTCTAGACTGCTTCTTGTTGTCTGGAGGTGACAGCATTTCTAGAGGACCCTTAGAAAATTGGGATAATGGTCAAGTCCTGGGAGAGACAGCTGTATTATTTTTTGTTTAGTCTCTGTGTGATGGGAAAATGTAGAGCTTATCTGAAGTCTTGACTGGAATAGTCTTTGAGGCTGGACCATCTGACCTGGCAGCTTTGAAATCTGGATGTAGATTTTTGAGGAAACTGTAACTGAGGCATTCTGAGAAGCTGGATCATTTGGGCTACTTGTCTTTATTTGTGTCTGGTCCTTTTGTTCTGAAAACAAATTTTTAAAGGTAACATACATATCTGTATTAACACAAGTATGGAATGTGCAGTGTGTACAAGTCAGCTAAAGATGATTTGTTTTATGTTTGAGCAAGTAAAAGACATCTGTCAACTTTCTAAGTCCATTTGGACTGTATAACCAAACTGTTAGGAAGACTCTGTAGCCAACAAGATTTATCATGTCTCATCCAGTTTCAGAGCTGTTCCCACTCAGAGGGATCAGCTTACATGTCACCTGTCCTGTAGTCTTTTGGCTTCCTCCCCCATGTCTGTAGCCAAGAACCTCAGGAGGTCACCCCCAATCAAATCTAATCTCTATTAACTTTGAACCATAACTTTTTGTTTCCTGTGGAAACAAAGACATAACATCTCCCTCAACACAACATATTTTCTGACTTCCATTTTGAAGTTAAGACAGTCTTAAAATATATAGGTTGGTTTAATTCAGCAGTCCCTTCCACAATCCACTGTCTCTCAGCAGCAGCTGTTCTCTGTTCATTGGAATTCAAAAAATTTAAAATTAACAAAGCACCATGCAGGGTCCAGGTGCCTGTGCATTTTCCATTCTATGTGGCTTATTCTTGTTATATTACTTTACTCTTTCTTTAAAGACTTTACTTTGTTATTTTTAAACTTTTTTTTTCTATGACTGTCTATACCTGTTTTTTCACTGTATCAGTTTAAAGGTTTTATCGGTCTGGACAGCTTTACTGTGCATCTGCAGCCTTCTCTGACCACATGAGCCAAGTCTTAAACCTGCCTTGCAGCTCTGCACATGGCACTGTGGCCAGGAGCGGTGTCTTTGTAGGCCATGGCTTGCCTGAGAGACTGTGGGACTAGGAAGCTGTGTCTGGCTCCAGTTTGTGTGTTGGAACTTTTTTTTTTTTTAAAAGCTTTCTCAAGTCCTATGTGGAAATACTTCCCCCCACGTTGAATGCCATAATGTATTTTTTGTGGGGATCGTTGGCTCCCCAATAATGACATGGAGGCTTATTAATTATGAAAGCTCAGCTGATAGCTTAGGCTTGTTTCTAACTAGCTCTTATAACTTAGATTAACCCATTTCTATTAATCTATGTCCTGCCATGTAGCTCATGGCTTTTACCTCTCCTCTTGCACATCCTTCCTCTGCATCTGGCTGGCGACTCTGCCTTTCTTCTTCCCAGAGTCCTCTCTGTCCCTCGAAATTCTGCCTAACCTCTTCCTGCCTAGCTGTAGCCATTCAACTCTATCAAATCAATCAGAAGGCACCTTGGCAAAGACACATCTTCACAGTGTAAATAAATATTCCACAACAGAGGGATCTATCCTCAATGGCCTCAATTCAAAAGAAAATCAGTTTAAAAGTCATCATGTACTACATAAAGAGTTTGAGGCCAGCCTGAAATACATAAGACCACACACACACACACACACACACACACACACACACACACACACACACACACACAGTGCTAGGTATGGTTAATAAGCACATGCTTATAATTCTAGCACTTGGGAGGCAGAGACAGGAGTTGAAGTTGAAGGCCAACCTGGTCTACATAGCCTGAACTTCATAATGAGACCCTAATCCAAAAAACAAAAAGGTGCTGGGAAGATAGCTCCAGTGAAAGTGCCTGCAGAACAAGCATAAGGATCTGAGTTTGTATCCACAGCACCCACATAAATGTGAGGAAGGGAGACAGGTGGATTCTTTTTTGTTTGTTTGTTTGTTTTTTGGGACAGGGTTTCTCTGTGTAACAGTCCTGGCTGTCCTGGATCTTGCTCTGTAGATCAGGTGCTAGCCTTGAACTCACAGAGATCTGCCTGGCTCTGCCTCCCAAGTGGCCATGTGCCACCACTGCCGGCCAAGACAGGTGGATTCTTGAGCTCATTGACTAGTCAGCTTTAGCTGAATCATTGAGCTCCAGGTTCAATGAAAGAACCTGTCTCAAAAAATACAGTGGATGGAGACTGGTTAGATGGTTTAGTGGGTAAAGTAACTGTGTAAGCATGAGAACCTGAGTTCAGATTCCCAGCACCCATGTAAAAGCCAGATGCTGTGACATGTATCTCTAATCCCAATTTGGGTGGGTAGAGGGGCAAACAGGCAGATCTCAGGGGCTTGATGGCCATCCAGCAAAAGTAATGAGGTCCAGATTCAGTAAATATCCTATCTCAAAAAATATGGTGGAGGGCCTGGCATGGTGGCATACCTTTAATCCCGGCACCTGGAAAGCAGTGGCAGGAGGATCTCTGTGAGTTTGAGGCCAGCTGGTCTACATAGCTAGTTCTAGGACAGCCAGGACTACATAGAGAGACCCTATCTAAAAAACAAAAACAAAAACAAAAACAAAAATGGTGGAGAATGATAGAGGAGATACCTGTCATCCATCTCTGAGTATTACATGTGTATCCATGGGTGAGTGAACCCATACACAAGTGTGCATATACACATGCACCACACAAAACACCAAAATAAGGTGGAGCGGGATTAAAGAAGACAATGTTGACTTCTGACCTATATACACTTCTAAACGTGTATACACCACACACAACAGAAAAGAATAAATATCAGTGAGATGGCTCAGTAACTAAAGGCACTTGCCACCAAGCCTCACAAAGCTAAGTGTAGTTCTCAGGACCCACATAGTGAAAGAAGAGAACTGATTCCCACAAGTTGTCTTCTGACTTCCATGCATGCCATAACAGGTATGTGTGTATATATATGCACATAAACAAATAAAAGTTTATACAACTCTGAGCCAATGGGATAAAGGGGTTTACAGCCAAGGCTGACAACCTGGGTTTGATCTCTGGAACCCCGTGGTGAAAGAAGATAGTTGTTCTCTGACCTCCACATATATGCTATAGCATGTGTTTCATGATGTATGCATGCTCACGTGCGCACACACACACCCCCCAAGTGAATGAATAAGTACATGGTAAAGAACTGCCTTATCTTACTAATTGGAAGACAATCCAATTAAAACAGGTGTGAAATGACACTTCAATAGTGAATTTTGACATGTGATTAAATGAAAAGATGCTACATTACTAGTCAGGGAAATGCTGACAATGAGATACCACTACATGCCTACCAGTACATTACCAAATATTGGTGAAGATGCAAAGCCTTTTGAGTTCTTCTGATCTGCTGGTGGGAAAGTAAAGAGATACTGCTATATGGAAAAAAGTTTGACAGGTTAAACACACCTCAGATACAATACAAAGTCCTTGATTATTTACCTATGAGAAATAGAAATACAGGTTCACACAGTGTGTGCTCAAGGACCTATGATTTCCAAAATAGTAGAATCAGCTAGGAACCTGTCAGCAGGTGATAGGTAAAGGAAATGAGGTATAGCCACATAACAATAACATAGTAATGAACAGAACACACATAACACAGTACATCTAAAGTCCTTGGTGCTGAATGAAAGGAACCATTATATTGTATATTCTATTTTTATGAAATTATAGACTTCTTTGCAGTGACAAGGCCAGCTTGGTTGCCTGGGAATAAAGGTTGAGGATGGGGGGATTCATAGAAGGCTCCGATAATAACTTTTTTGGTATAGTGGTGGCCTCCTAGGTACATAGTTTTCCAGAACTCCCTGACTTGTCTATTTTAAATGGATGTGGTTTATTGTGTGCAAATTATGCTTCAATAAAGTTGACCAAGTAGCAAATGGCAGGGTTGATTGAAATGTGTGGCTTTTTTTTTTTTACTTGACCTGGGCCTAAGAATGCTCTCCTCAGAGTGAGCAGAAGTGTCCTTAACAATTTGGAGTTTTCCTCCAGGACAGAGAAATATGGTCTTTGATGAGCAAACCAAAGTTTAAATTCACGGAAAAGTTAAAATTTAATTACAATCTATAGTTAAAGGGTAGCCACACTATGATATGAATATGTCTCTAAGAAGATTTCACACCTTAGAAAGAGAAGTTAAGTCAAGCACAGAACATTTTGAAACTCAGCATGCATTACTGAAACAAAGAAAAAGCATGTACTAATAATGAGTGCCAGAAAGGTTCTGGATCAGTTTTTCAGGTGACTCCTGTAAGCCTGAGCACTACCTCTCCCCACTTGCAGTGTGGCCATTTTCCTGATACTCCTGGCTTAAATCCAATATAAAGTGAATTATGGTACAGACTCCCACTTTCCCTCCTGATAGGACAGGGGCCTATGTCATCCTGAACTTTCACCCCTATGGGTCACATAGACCCACATAATCCTTTCCCTAGGTCCCTCAAGTGAGGCTTCCCACCACCCCTAGGCCAGAAAGTATATGTAGTTCCTCATTTTTAGCCTCAAACTGAAATGTCTCTGTGTTCTCTCAGAGTCTTCTTAGAAGTGAAGCTCAGGCTGCTATTGCACCAGAGCTGGAGATGCCCAGCTTGCCAGCTGTTTCATTGCTGCAGTGGCCTCTGCAAAGTAAAAAGTCTTCATAGAGGTAACATACATTTATTTGTTTATTATTTATTTATTTAGTATTATTATTTGAGACAGGATCTCATGGTATCTCAGATTGGTCTTGAATTTACTATGTAGCTATACTACTTTTGATCCTCTTGTCTCCAGCCCCTAAGTGTTTGGATTACAGGTGTATACCACCATGCCAGGTTATGTCAAGCCTACAAGTGCTTTACCAACTGAGCTGCATCCTGAGTCTCTTAAGAGGCAACATTATTTGTTTGTTTAAAGATTTATTTATTTTTTCAGCTGGAGAGAGAGCTCAGAGGTTAAGAGCACTGGCTGTTCTTCCAGAGGTCCTGAGTTCAAGTCCCAGCAACCACATGGTGGCTTACAACCATCTATAATGAGATTTGGTGCCCTCTTCTGGCTTGCAGGCATACATGTAGGCAGAACCCTGTTTACATAATAAACAGGGGCTGGAGAGATGGCTCAGAGGTTAAGAGCACTAGCTGTTCTTCCAGAGGTCCTGTGTTCAATTCCCAGCAACCACATGATGGCTCACAACCATCTGTAATGAGATCTGGTGCCCTCTTTTGGCCTGCAAGCATGCATGCACTGTATACATAATAAATAAATTAAAAAAAAAAAAGAACACTGTTTACATAATAAACAAATAAATCTTTTTTTTTTTTTTTTTTTTTTTTTTTTTTTTTTTTTTTTTGGTTTTTCGAGACAGGGTTTCTCTGTGTAGCTTTGCGCCTTTCCTGGGACTCACTTGGTAGCCCAGGCTGGCCTCGAACTCACAGAGATCCGCCTGGCTCTGCCTCCCGAGTGCTGGGATTAAAGGCGTGCGCCACCACTGCCCAGCAACAAATAAATCTTTAAAAATAAAAAGATTTATTTTTATTTTATGTGTTTGGGTGTTTTGCCTGCTTATATGTCTATTCACCACATGTGTCCTCAGAGGCCAGAAGAGGATGCCAGATCCCCTGGAATTGGAGTTACAGCCATGTGGGTGATAGGAATTAAACCTAGGTCTTCTGGAAATACAGCCAATATCTCTCCAGGCCTGTTTTTTGTTTGTTTGTTTGTTTCTTTCTTTTATTTTTTTTATTAAGAAATCTTTTATTCATTTTACATACCACCTACAGATCCCCCTCTCTTCCCTCCTTCAGTCCTCTCCCAGCCTCCCCCTCAACTCACCCCCCATTCTCTCCTCTGAAAAGTTAAGGCCTCCCATGGGGAGCCAATAAAGCCTGGTACATTCAGTTGAGGCAGGTCCAAGCCCCTCCCCCTTCATCAAGGCTGTGCAAGGTATCCCACCATAAGTAATGAGCTCCAAAAACCCAGCTCGGGCACCAGGGATGGATCCTACTGCCCGGGGGCCCATTAAGCAGATCAAGCTACACAACTATCTCCATTATGCAGAGGGCCTAGTCCAGTCCCATGGAGGCTCCACAACTGTTTGTCTAAAGTTCATGAATTCCCACTAGCTTGGTTCAGTTGTCTCTGTAGGTTTCCCCATCATAGAATCCCTCTTCCCCTGCTTTTGTTTTTTGAGACAGGGTCTTGCTATGTAGTTCTAGTTCACTAGGTAGACCAGCTTGGCTTCAAACTCATGGAGATCCAGCTAACTTTTAAGAGATAACCTTTATGGAAAAAAAAAACAAAAAAGCAAAAAAAAAAAAAAAAACCCCACAAAACTCTTCAAATCTTGTTTTGGACTTTGATTGGTTTATAAGTATCACTTTATGAGTTAACATAAGTTTGTTGTAAAAGGGATTTCAGGGAGAGGGAGACTAGAGAGATGGCTTAGTGGTTAAGAGTACTTGCTTTTGCAAACGACCCAGTTTGGGTTTCCAGCAATCACATGCCATCTCACAATTGTCTATAACTCCAGTTCCATGAATCTGATGTCCTCTTCTGGACTCTGCAGGCACCAAGCACACATGTGATGCACATGCATGCATACAATTAAAACATTCATAGACATAAAATAAAATAATCTTTGAAAAAAATTAAAAGGGATGGGGATGTAGCTCAGTTGATAGAATGCTTACCTAGTGTGCACAAAGCCTTGGGTTCAGTCTCCAGCCCTGCCATAAGTCAAGCTTGATACTGCACATCTGTAATCACAGCACTCGGTGGTAGAGGCAAGAGATGAGAGAGATGGAGAGATGACTCAGCAGTTAAAGAGCACTGGCTGCTCTTCCAGAGGATCTGTGTTCTGTTTCCAGCACCCACATGGCAGCTTACAACTGTAACTGTTAGAATCTGTAACTCTATTTCCAGTAGATTTGATGTCCTCTTCTGGCCTCTGCAGGTGCCAGGCATGCTCATGGTATGCGGACAAACCTTATATACATAAAACTTTTAAAAGTTTAAAAAAAAAAACAAAACTAGTATTGGTACAGATCAAGATCAAAATCAACCACGATACATGAAACCCTTATCCCCTAACAGGAAAAAAATTATTAAAAACTGTACACATGATATTACCTCAAGGCTCTGTGGGAGGTGCATGTTTTCCTCTAGTCATATTAAAAATGAAGCATATAAGCACTAAGCGAGCAGTTTTCAAGCACCAGGTGTTCTATGGTTTAAATCTTGTTGCAATTTTTGTGCTCCTTTTTGGTCTCTGGATCCTTCCTCTTGTTACTACTCTTTTTTTTTTTTTTTTTTTTTTTTGAGACAGGGTTTCTCTGTGTAGCCCTGGCTGTCCTGGAACTCAGAGATTCACCTGCCTCTACCTCCTGAATGCTCAGGTTAAAGGTGTGTGCCACCATGCCTGGCTTGTGACTGTACATTTTTAAGCTTGGGTATTACTCTGGACTGTGGTTTTACAGCCTCTTGTTTCCCCAAGTTCATAAAGGCAGAACACTGTATCACTGAAAATTCCCAGGGAACTCATCGCCACCCCAAACCCCTAGCTACCCACAAGGAAACAAAATCTTGTTAGTAGTGTTTAAGATGTGATTAGGGCTTCACTGGGACAGTGTGTCTGCATCCTGGGAAACCAGAGGTACAGTGGTCTTGCTTTCAGAATGCTGACAGCATGATGTTATTGGAAGGAGCACCAGGTCATCCCTCTCAATCAAGGCTCTGCCCACCTGTCATGATTCTTGAGTTTTGGGCCTTAAAACTATAGTGTGCTGGCGTATGAGCTCCTTACAGTCCTAGCTTTGGTAACCACTGATCCCCAAGTAGTGAGGAGCTGATGTCTGTAGGTCTCCCTGGAGGGGCAGGTAAGAGTGCTTTGACTGCATCACTGCTTCCCTGAAAGGCTGCCCCACCCTTTCCATTAAAGCCCTACCCTCTCTGCCTTGGTCCTGCCCTCTCAGTTACCCCCTCTTAGCCCCATCCAACCTTACTAGTACCTCCTCCCTGCACACTGTTCTGTCTTACAGATTTCCCTGTCAGCTCCTCAGCATGACACTGCAGTGTCTCATGCTCCTGGCTGGCCTCTTGATAGGAGGCATGAGCAAGTCTACAGAAAGCAAGGTGGGTAATTCTGTGCCCACTGGCAAGAAATTGAAGCCTCCTCAAAGGCACTGGATCCTCACCCCATAAGAATTTCAGTCTTTGAACTTAAGGTTCACTGATGTTAGCCTGTCCTTCGTAGAATCCCCTTGGAGTCTACTGCTAGTGTTGGAAATGCCTAAACTCTGCCCATCATCTATTTTGTTCTGCTTTCTAGAAGTTTCTCTGCCAGACCTACTTATTGCTATAGCTGACCTAGAATCTCTGCAGAATCACCCTCCAGAACTGCCTGTAGCCCAGAGCTACCTGCTCAGTTGTTGCTTACTCAAGAGAATTAATGAACACATGGTCAGGCATCCTGGCTCCCATCAGAAGTAGTTGAACAAAGACAGTGACACTCCAGGGGTTGAGCTTTGATATCTGGAATTGGGGTGACATTATTCTCTCCAAGACAGGCAGGATGGGAGCCTCACTGGTTGGGGGTGATGGTATGGGGAATCCCTTACTAACTTGGCCAAGGGTAATGAAAGGGATGGCTTATGCACTGGGCCTTCATCCTTCCCAAGGTGGTATGATACTCCCCTGTTTCCCTGTTATCCTTTAGACACTCCTTACTATTAACCAAGCTCAGATCACAAGAAAAACCATAAATTTGTAGTCCTATCCCATAGGAGACTAAGGCAGTAGAATTGTGAGGGTTTGTTTTGTTTTTCAAGACAAGGTTTCTCTGTAGCCATGGCTGTTCTGGAACTTGTTCTGTAGACCATGCTGACCTCGAACTCACAGAGATCCACCTGCCTCTGCCTTCCAAGTGCTGGGATTAAAGGCATGTGCCACTCCTGCCCGGCAGGATTGTGAATTTAAGACCAGTCTGGCCTACATAATGGATACTTTTTTTTTTTTTTTTGAGATAGGGTTTTTCTGTCTGTCCTGGAACTTGCTTTGTAGACCAGGCTAGCCTCAAACTCAGAGATCCGGAGTGCTGGGATCTAAAGGCATGTGGCACAACCTGGCTGGAACCCTGTCTTAAAAACAAACATAAACAGGGTCAACAAGATGGCTCAGCAGGTAATGGCACATTCTGCCAAGCCTGATGACTCTGAGTTTGGTCCCTGGAACCCACAGTTGAGGGACTCCTAAAAGTTGTCCTCTGACATCCATGTACATGCTCATACTCATATATACACACAATAATAATAAATAAAAAAGCTGAGTGTCATGGCACTTGCCTTTAATCCCAGCACTTGGTAGGCAGAGGCAGGTGAATCTCTATGTGTTTGATGCCACCCTGGCCTACACAATGAGTTCCAGGCCAGCCAAAACTACATAACGAAACCCTGTCTCAAAATAAAGCAAAAATAATAATAAATAAAATTTAGAAATTAAAAACAGAGAAAAGACAAACTTAATATAAGTTTTACATTTCTTGACTGCTTTTATAAAGAAATGAGGGCACCTGTATATTAATGCTAGGGTTTGGGGGAAGAGGGATATTTTTAAGGAAGTGTGATTGGACAGAGGGTGTGATCTGATGGTCATTAACTAGGGACCCAGCCAGACTGCTATTCAGAGTCTTGTCCCTATGGCTTCAGAGACAAGGGCCTACCCTTTCAATACAGGGAGGGCACTGCTCTATGAGGGCCTTAGCCTTTCCTTGCAGGTAAAGGGCAGGAGATAGTCAAAGACTTCCTTTGAGCTCTCTCCAGTGTCAAAAGTATTCTATTTTAGGGCAGTTTGTTCTGTGCCACACCATGCCAGGTCGTCCAAGGCCTAAGCCCCAGGCCAATTCATACTAATTCATTAGGTCTTACCCTTCCTGGCCTTTCTGGGTAGCTGGTGTTGGACACACTTAGCCAGATTCTAGCCTTATACTTGGTGACTTATTCAGTCATCAAATATTCACTGGTCACAGGCTCTGCATAGTCTAGACTTGAAGCCAGTGGGAAAAGGACCTATTGATTAGTGATTCATGTGATGTGACAGTAGTGTAGTCCAGGTGCTTGTAGAAATAGCCCCAAAGGGAGATAGCCCCAACTCTGTACCAGTAACTTCCAGGTTTAGTCTCTATGTTTAGGGCTGGAGTTTTTCCTGTGCTTTGCCAATATGAGCTGCAGTAGGAGTAGAGTAGGAATACTCACTTTTATTGAAGGGATGTCACTTGACCCTAGAGAGTTTTGGAGCTATGGTTAATGAGAAAGATAGGACCCTGTTATGACCAATGCTATCCTTGGCATGAGCTAGGCACTTACCAACCTGTCTCACTGATGTCTCTTCTCTAGGCCCAGCAACCTGAGTGTTGTATGGATGTGGTAGACTTCAATACTACCTGCCCAGGCACAGGCCTGTGTGGCCCAGGTAAGCATCATTGTTGCAAGTAAATAGGAGACTAGTCATCACCCCACCAGCATTCCTAGATATCTTTTATTCCTCAGTGACAAGACAGCTGAGGGGATGGAGGAACTTGGGGCAGCACAGACTAGCATTGTGCAAAGGAGGTCTACCTGGGTTTCCTTCTTGAGCAACCTAACCACACCCTTGTCTGGTCCAGGCAAGACCCTGTGGGGGATGTTCTGTAAAGGGTTGAGGCACAGGGAGAAAGAGGTTCAGAGGAGGAGGAAGAGGAACAGGGTTCAGAAGGAGACTAAGCCAGGATAGCACTTCCAGGAACTTAACAGCTCTTGGGGTATCCTTTTTTAAAAGATTTATTTATTTTTATTTTATGTGTAAGTGTTTGCCTGTAGGTGTGCATGTGGTCCACTCAGAGGCCAGAAGAGGGTATCAGATTCTCTAGAACTGAAGTTCTGAATGATTGTGAGCTTCGGTGTGGGTTCTGGGAACCAAATCCAGGTCTTCTTCAAGAATAGCAAGTGCACTTAACTGCGGAGTCATCTCTCTAGTACCTCTGGAGGGAATTTTGACCCTGGAATATCCAGCAATGTCTGGAGGCATTTTTGGTCATCACAGTTGGTGCTAAATGAGTTGAGGAGGATGCTTCTAGCATCTGGAGGTGGAGGCCAGGGTGCTATTCACTAGCCTCAGTGCACAAGATGACTCCACCACAGAGGATAATCCAGCCCCAATGGCAGCATGCCAAAGGTGAGGTCCCTGTCCCACAAAAGGTTCTAGGAGGCTATGAAGATAGGACTTTCTGGAGGCAGCCAACAGAGATTAGGGTTGCTGAGAGAAGGCAAATAGAAATGTCTAGAAGAAGAAGACCCAAGTGAGATGATGCCAGGGCCACCCACTGTCTTGGCCTGTCCTGAGGCAAGAAGAAATCATTGTGATAAAAAGGTGGTCAGTCTTGAGGGGGGTGACTCTAGGCTGCTATTTATTTTAGACTAGACTGGCCCAGAGCTGTCCCTTGATTTGTCACCCCTTGGCACCTGTTCTGAGTTCCATTACAAGACTACATGAACCCAGAGAAACTGCTCAGGAAAGCAGGTACTCCAAAACACTGATCGGGTGCAATGGGAAGAGGACATGGACAAGATGTTGAGGCTGGAAGGGAGGTAGGGATCAAAGATGAGTGTAGTGACAAGGGAAGAGGGCATTGCTTCTGTAGTGAGCAGAGAAAATATGAGGGTGCTATCTTAGGGTTTCTATTGCTGTGAAGAGACACTGTGACCATGGCAACTCTTATAAAAGAAAACATTTAATTGGGGCTGGCTTACAGTTTCAGAGGTTTAGTCCATTTTCATCATGGTAAGACATGGCAGCATGCAGCCAGACATGGTGCTGGAGAAGCTGCTGAGAGTTCTACATCTTAATCTTCAGGCAACAGGAAGTGAACTGTGTGCCACACTGAGGGTAGCTTGAACACAGGAGACCTCAAAGCCCATCCCCACAGTGACACATTCCTCCAACAAAGCCACACCTCTTAGTAATGCCATTTCCTATGGGAGCCATTTTCTTTCAAACCACTACAGATGCCAAAGGGCCTTCATGAGCCTTCTAACCTAAAGTTCTGGAAGTTGAACTTTCCTGGATTCTTTCACATTAACAGGAGTGCATGGGACCTGGCATCTCATGGACTATAAACTGTCCAGAGATGGCTCATTGGGTGCAGGCTACTATGCCACAGAGAGGCTGGAATAAGGAAAGATGCGAAGTCAGAATCTAAAATCCAAGGTGGCTCTGGGAACAGGTACAGGGATGGAGATAACCACGTTTGTGTAGGGAGACATAGGAGCCCCATAGGCCTTCAGGGCTACCACATGTCTCTCTGGCCACGCTTTTTCCCTGCATATAATTTAGCAACCCAGCAGAAGCCCATGATAGAGTCAAATGCATCTCAACATAGGAAATGATAGTGAAAGGGATGATTCTGGGGAGAATCACTATGTAGCTCTGGCTGGCCTGGATTTCACTCTGATAGTCTCACTGAGATTATCACTCTTGGTGCTAGGTTTTGTACTGAGGACCCTATGTTCCTTGGTTTTGCCTTTAGTAGACACACATGCCTCTCATGAGATCTACTCATGCCTTGAATTGATAAGAGGAATAAAGCTAGGCCACTGTAGGAGACTTACTCCTCATCTTATGATTACATGTTTGAGCAGGAATCTTCCACCCAAGTAGAAATGAGCATTTGGACTTTGTTCCTGTGTGATTGTTTGCCCACAGCATTGGCAGAGCTTGAATGGGCTGATGTCCCTCTTAGACCACTTGTCCATTGCTGTTGATACTGTCTTTGCCACCACAGAAAGGCTTCTGTCTCACCACAACTCATCTGTTCAGATCAGACATTATAACCTTCATTATTAAGGTCTAGTGACCCATGGTTTAGCTCTACATGCTGCCCAATATCCAGCTTTGGCTTCTAGAACCCCATCAACATTTATGGAACATGTATGCCCATCTTCTGTGTTGGGGATGTTAGAAGTAAAGGTATAAGATGGCCTCCAGGATGCCCTGACCAGAGGGGAAACAGCTGTCCACAAATCACTAGCCAGTACAGGCTGGGTTGTGGTGATATTGTGTTCCCCAAAATATTGTGTACCCTAATAAACTTATCTGGGGTCAGAGACAGAACAGCCACTAGATACAGAGGCTAGAAAATGGTGTCACTCACACCTTTAATCCTAGCATTCCAGAGGTAGAAATCCCTCTGGATCTCTGAGTTCAAGACCACATTGGAAACGGCCAGGCATGGTGACACACGCCTTTAATCCCAAGAAGTGAGCCTTTAATCCCAGGGAGTGATGGCAAAAACAGAAAGATATATAAGGCATGAAGACCAAAAACTAGCAGCATTTGGCTGGTTAAGCTTTTAGGCTTTGAGCAGCATAGTTCAGCTGAGAGCCATTGGAATGAGGACACAGAAGCTTCCAGTCTGAGGAAACAGGATCAGCTGAGGAACTGGCGAGGTGAGGTAGCTGTGGCTTGTTCTGCTTCTCTGATCTTTCAGCATTCACCACAATATCTGGCTCCAGGTTTGATTTTATTAATAAGAACTTTTAAGATTCATGCCACACTGGGTCACTCTCAGAATGAAGGTATGGCTTTGGTCAGTGCCAATCTTCGGTAGAAATTTGGCTTGATCCTGCTACATAGACCCTGGGAAATAGCACAGGGACACAAACAAACCTATGTGCACCTGCCCCGATGTAGAGGCCCAAGTGAGGGTACACTGCTGTATATACCTTGTATCCTGGAGGTTCTGGTGGATAAGGCTAGACCTTCGCATAGTATCTATTAATTTTAGCTTTCTGTCCTAAGCACTTCTGAATAGTCTCCTCAGGTGTCCAGTAAAAGAAATGACTGCCTTAGTGATAGGTATCCACAGGAATTTGGTTGAGAGCTGTATGCTTTCTGTTGAGTTTATTTCTTTTTCTGGAATTGGAGCCTGTGCCCAGTTTTCCACATCATGTTAATGTTCCTGAGTTGAAAATTGCCAATTCATAATGCAGAAAAGCTTGAAGAAGACAGTGAAATGACTTTGACTTACTTTGGCTGAAAAACTCTCTCTTCTCATGCAGGTTGCTACAGGCACTGGAATGCAGATGGGAGTGCTAGCTGTGTCCGGTGCTGGAATGGGACCCTCCCCACATATAATGGCTCTGAGTGCAGAATTCGTATGTCTTCTCCAAGCTATCTACCCCAGTTCCCCTATACTTCACAAGGGTCCTCATGTCCAATTTGGGGAGAAACCAAGGGAACCACTGTATTTGTCCTCTCCAACGGCAGTACCCACCTTGCCCAGGAGTCTTGTCTATCAGTGAGCAGCCCCTTGGATCTCTCCCTGAGTGTTCTGTTCACTGAGGACAGCTGTGGGTGAAAACTGCTCCTTGCTTTCTCATCTCTAAACTGAGATGTCCCTTTAGGACTATGTATGGAGACCTCAGTAGGGTCCTGGGCATGGCTCAGGCCTCCCCTTAGTTCTGCTCTCCCATAGTCACTGGCCGGAGCATGCAGTTTCCCATGAACAGAAGCACAGGGACACCTGGACAGCCACATTTTGGTAAGTCTCTTAGTTCATAAGTCCAGAACTGTGCCTCTGCTTAGGACCTGGTGCTGGGGCTCATCATCAGAGCTGGTATTGGTGCTAGTGTCAATCCTGAGCCACTGAGGCCACAGCAGACATATCCATGGTAAAATATTTTTTGCAAGGAGCTATAGTCAAAGAAAAGGTCTGGAGAGAGTCCAGCATCCCTTGGGGCTGGGGTCATTTGGCTTGGGTGTGGGTACATGTTGGGATTCCATAGGATGAAGATATTTCATGGTCTCCAAAGAGCTTCAGTTATAGCAGCCCTCACTGCTACCCACTTATGCTTAGCCTTTGCCTCATTCCATGTCCACTCTGACCCCCAGGCCCTGGGGATTGCATTGCCCCATCCCAACTTGCTCTCATAGGATGTAGGCTGCTGATGAGACTGCAAACACATGGGCCATACCTCCTGATATGTTTTTAAGGAAGGGACAGGCCCTATTTACCTGATGTCCATATCTCCAGAGTCTTTAAGCCCACCTTAAATGAAGACCTGGGGAGTAAAGAGTGGAAGAAAATGTGGGGTAGCAGTGTGGCCAGGCAAGCAAGAGAGAGGACTAGGGTGGTGCTGGTAGAGAGAATATACCCAAGTCAGAGGAGCCCCATAGGTTAGGGAGCTAGACTGAACTCCAGTACAAGACTGCCTCTTCTGAGGTGACCCAATCACTTTAGGGACATATCACCCTGACCCTCATCCTTCAACAGTTCTGGATCTTAGGTTTAGAGTCCTATTCTGAGAGGGCTCAGTCCTTCCCATGGGTCTTAGAACCCATCCCTCCTCTCAACCAGAAATTGCACTTGAAGGTGCTGTCCTCAACAGTAGAAGTCCACTGCACAGAACTATGGTGTTTAGGGTAGGGGTAGTATAGACAGGACCTTAGCCACATCTTTTGCACAGTGCTAATGAGACAGAGCAAGATCCATGGAGTCTCAGTAAGAAAGATACTTTCCAAGGCTGAGTGGTGGTAGCACACACCTTTAATCCCAGCACTCTGGAGGCAGAGGCAGGTGGATCTCTGAGTTCAAGGCCAGCCTGGTCTACAAAGTGTGTTCTAGGACAGCTAGGACTGTTACACAGAGAAACCCTGTCTCAAAAAACAAACAAAAAAGAGGATACTTCCCATAGCTGGCATTTACACTGTTCCATCAAACTACTAAACCCCTAGCATGTCCTGACCACAAACAAATGGAGCTAAGTAGGAGGCAACTGCATGTATCAGAAGTGAGGTGCAGCCGAAGTACCTGTTGCCAAGACTGGAGGCTTTGGTTCTTACTCCAAGAGGCTGAAGCCAATCTAATAGAGAGAGGAGCCTGGAATTAGCCTGGGCCAGGAGAGGGTGGACAGTATAATGTCCCTGGTCTTGTGGCTAGGTATGTTGGGCTTGTGGAGGAGCCTGAGTGCAGAACCCTTGCTCTGACATGTGGCTGGTGCCTAGTATGATGCTCAGGTATGTTTAGGAAATGGTGGGCCCCAGGGGTTAAGCAAGGCGCACTGGACATCCACCCCCAGACCTGGCTCTCCTGGCAGCTGTTGGTTTGCCTGCAGGGGCTCCTCATGTGGCAGCTTCCCTCTTCCTGGGGACACTCTTCATCAGCACAGGCCTCATCCTCTCTGTGGCTGGGTTCTTCTACCTCAAGCGCTCCAGTAAACTTCCTGAGGTTTTCTACAGGAAAGACAGAGGTACTTCCTTCTGTGGCTGAGTTTCTGCCTGCCTAGCCTCAGGGATACTGTCCAGAGCCTGTCCCCACTCAGGGCATAGGTGGTCCCCAGTGGGTACAGAGCAGGTGCAGGGACTCCAGTGTGTCCAGACTCCTGTGCCCACACTCACCAACACAGAGTGACTTTGGATGCTCTTATAGCTGAGAATATGAGGCTGGGCCCTGCTGCTTAGAGTCCCCAGGGTAAGAAATATGGCTGAGCAGCTGTCCAGGCTCCAGGTGCTCAGGGCACTCAGAGCTGAGGCGGCTGCCGGGCATCAGAGTAACATGTTATTTTCTTCCCTAGCCCCTGTCCTACAGCCTGGTGAAACAGTAAGTAACCTACTCAACTAGGCTGAGCAACCTCGGCTGTGTGTACCTGTGCCAGGCCATCCAAGTCTCACTTTGCCTTTCTCTTTTCAAGGCTGCGATGGTCCCCCTGCCACAGTCTTCAGGTACAGGCTGCAGCATGTTATGGGAGTTGGGTGGAAGGGCCTTACTGTGGACCAGTCTTCAAAGCCTATTCTATGGTTTTATCCCCAGATATAAAGGTCCTTCTCTGGGGCCTGACATGCCTTCACACATTCTAAGTAGACTGTTCCATAAGGCAGGGACAAGGACAGGTGCTCAGCAGGCATTACTTCTTTTCTCCCTATCAACCCACATGGTTTCCATGCTGTCTCCCTTCCTCAGCATAGGGCCAGACTCCCTGCTTCTTCTGTAGTCATGTCTAAATCTAGTCCTGCTTGAGAGCTGCAAGGAACATGTCAGTTCTTGAGCCTTTTCCTGCCAGGCCTGTCTGAGCAGTTGTAACCCACTGTACAGAAGAGGCCATGAGCACAGAGGTTGACTGGCCCATGGTTACACAACCATAAGCTCCAGAGCAGATTTACTTAACTTCTCTCCCCATCTCATTGTCCTCACTGTGCAGAGGTCTAGAATGGAGAACCAGTGACAGTGTTTCTCTCTTTTGAAGATAAAGTAGTTCATTGATGAACCCAGACCTACTTTGTTCCAATTAATATCTGTCTCAAGTTCTTCAAAGCAGCCCTTCTCCCTGAGTACCTTACAGGTGTTGTCAGTGACCTGTGCCACCATACAGCAAAATACACACACTAGCCACTCCAAGAAAAGCATATCCCTTGATAGTTCTTGGAGACCGAAGTTAGAAATCAAGATGTTGGGGTGAGAGACATGCAACCCAAGGCCTGGTGGATGGGGAATCTCTCATGTCTCTTCCAACTCCTAGTGTCTCATACCTCCTGTGGCTTTGTGACCACATCATCCATGTCTCTCTTTCTCTCTGAAGAGAATAATAGTCATTGATTGGATCCAGAGCCCACCTGGTTAACCTAGGATGATCTCACCTATCCTAATAGAATCACATCTGCACAGACCTTTTTTCAAATTAGGGTTATATTCATAAGCTTCAAAACTCAGGGTGATCTCCTGTCTTTAGAGGATGCTATCTAACTCCCTGTAGAGCATAATGCAGGTATAGTCTATGCTGCTGTCTTAAGGAAGAGCTGGGCTCTGATCCAGGCCCACATACTAGGGTGTGGGGTCTGGGGTTCTGATAGGAAACGGCTGAGCTCATGGGCACCTCCATCAGAAGAAACTGCCTTTGCATAAGTGGAGCCTAATGAGCATCATTTCCTTGTTAGAATAAACACCACACATGGGCTTTGTGCCCTGTGGCTGTTCACTATGCTCCTGAGAGCCTATGGTGCTGTCAAAGACCTGAACTTCACCTATTTCTGACTTGGCTTTATCTCTGACCCCATTTCAGTGAGGAAGCCAAGATACATTAGACGTGAGCAGCATCCAGACAAGAATAGGGATCCTTCTGCCTTCTCCACAGTGGAGGCCCACATCAGCAACGTCTGACCTGGAAGTCAGCTGAGACTTCACAGCACAGCATTGGAGACCCAAGGCTCCCTCCCAACACACAAAGGGCCTTGGGCTTAAGATAGGCCAGAATTGGCTCCCAGTGACAGATATATACAAATGCTAAGGGGAGCTAACCTCCATGCCATGAGATCTTCTGTCCCACCCTTATTGTGTGGTTTAACAGGAGTAACCATCTGTTTGTGAGACCTGAGACTCAAGAGCAAGTCATATGGAGTCTGGGCCCCTCAGGAGTCACAGCAAAGTTCCAGCATCTGTAACAGCTACAACACAGGCCCGATCCAAATGGTCAAAACTTTTGGAGGCCACCCAGTGGAACCCATGTTAGATAGGACTCTTTCCATCACCACCAAGCTAAGAAGAATGAAACCAAGGCCCAGACAGTGGAGAAAACAACCTGGAAACTGGTACCAGAGATAGGTTGCTCCAGCACTGGCCGGCTAATTTATCTGCTGACCTCCAAGGCATAGATTTCTGAGAGTTGCAGAATTGAGTGTCCTGGGTTTCCTGATTCCAGAGACCAGCAGAACCTAGTCTCCCAGGGACAGACTCCCAGCCAGCTACCTTTCCGGCTGAGTACTCAAAGTAAAATGTTTAACCATGAGGCTTCCATATCTGAACACTTGTAGGTCACTTGTGTCATTGGGCTTGTGAGAGCATGCTGGTCAGTGGTCCTGTCTTTGCTGTTGCAAGCCTCCAGAAGCAGTGCCTGTGAGCTGCTAGTGTGGCTGGTGGCATTGGCTAGTAGCTCCTGTGGAAGAAGGTGCCCTGTTAACCAATGCCACCCTTCCTCTATGGGCCAAGGGTGTTAGCATCTTCTTCAACATCTGGCCCACATCTGATCTTACTAACAGTGTTATAAGCTTACTTTCCAATACTTGAACCAGTGGCCAAGATAGCAGCAGTGATTTAAAGTTGGACCAATTAAACTAGACTAGATTTTCTCTCCTCTAGCCTTATTATCCCAAGGGTCATCTATTCATTGTGTGTGGGCCAACTGCCCCATTGCCATGTTCAGGGGACAGGGAGTCAGGGATGCAAAGAGGATACCCTCAGCAGGATCCAAAACCTGCTATCTGTTGTCTGGTGGGACTGAGTACAGCACAGTCCATCCCCACATGTGGCCTTGGCCTGTTCCACATGTACTCTTCTCATTTCGGGACACTGTATTGAATGACGTGACTACCCATCTCCTTAGGACTTGAGATAGAAGGTGCCAATCAAGTATGGCCTGATTCTTCAGATAAAACTACAGATATAACTGGGTGTGGTGACACATGCCTTTAATCTCAGCACTTGGGAGGCAGAGGCAGGTGGATCTCTGTGAGTTCAAGGCCAGTCTGATCCACAAAGCGAGTTCCAGGATAGTCAGGAACAGAGAAACACTATCTCAAAAAAACAAAACAAACAAACAAAACCAGAAAAAAGACTACAGATACTTCACTAGGCTTTGTGGGGGCCACTGACAGTTTATGGATCTAAGTCACCCTTAGGGAAAGCAGGACCCTCTATGTTGGCTACTTGAGTCCAGCTTGGTGGTCCCATTTAAAGCCCATGGGTAGATGTGGAGATGTTTCTCTGCTGACTAGTGAAGGATCTAGATAATTAGAGCATAGGGATTCTAGAAGTCCTGCCTATGGTGGTTTGAATAAGGATGCCTTCGCATGGGCTTACATATTTGAGTGCTTAGTCATCAGGGAGTGGCATTACTTGAGAGGGATTAGGAAGTGTGGCCTTGTTGGAGGAGGTATGTCACTGGGGGTGGGCTTTGGGGTTTCAAAAGTTCTAGCCAGGCCCAGTGACTTTCTCTTCCTGCTGCTGCCTGTGGATCTGGATATAGAACTCTGAGCTCCTTCTCTAGCACCATGTCTGCCTGTGTGCCACATGCTTCTAGCCATGCTGGTAATGGACTAAACCTTTGAAACAGTAAGCATGTCCCAATTAAATGCTTTCCTTAATGAGAGTTGCTGAAGTCATGGTGTCTCTTCACAACAATAGAACACTTACTGAGACACTGCCCTTGCTTTCTAACTTCTGTAGCTATCTTTATACATTGGTTAGAGGGCTGTGGCCCAAGACATCTGCTGAAACCTGAAATGAGTTTGGCATTCAAAGAGCATCCCTCTGCCCTTGGCCGTATTTCAAAAAAGTGCTGAGGAGTAAGATCCTATCAGGCTAAGGTGTGGGTGTCCAGACCCAGATCCTTTGTTCTGAAACCAAAGACCTTGCTCTGGGTACAGGATGTGAAGTAGTGTAAGCAACAGGATGGAGTCTGACCCAGCATCATTTTTTTTCAACAGCTTGACACCCTAGGGCCTAAAGCAGGGTTGGGTGTTCTAGTCAACATAAGCACCTTAAGGCCTAAGGTTCCCCAGTATGATTTATTTCTTTTTTTTCTTCCTTCCTTCCTTCCTTCCTTCCTTCCTTCCTTCCTTCCTTCCTTCCTTTCTTTCTTTTTCTTCTTTTTTTCAACCCCAGAATGCTTTCTAATGAGAATTGGAAAAGGATATTGGCAGCAACCAGGGAAGGCAGCATGAGAAAGTGGCTGCCAGTCTGGCTCCCTAGGGCCACAGATGGTTCCTCTCCCAGCTCATCCCGAGTAGCCAGTGCCCAAGCACTCCAAAATGGAAACCTCAGATTATTCCAGCCACCTTCATGTATCACTTGCTCCCCACCCCTCCTCTTTCTGATCCGCACACCCTCTTTCCTTCATTTGCTCAGTGATTTTTACTGGGCAGCACTGGAAGTGTTCCAAAGTCAGCCCATTAGGATGGGTGGGACAAGAAAGGACCTACAACAGCATTAGGAGGTATGCCAGGCCAGAGACCCTAAGAGTAATAGGACAGGGTTGGTCCTGCATGGTCACAAGCACTGGAAGAACTGACACAGGACGAACCTACCAGATGGTCAGTACTAAGCAAGAGACTTTCAGATACGTCTTTGGGGATCTTGTCCTCACTGGTGGGTACAGAAGGACACCATTGGTCAGACCATCTTATGTCCAAAGCAATATGAGACCAGGTCTACATCTAGCTCTAAAAGATGGGGCAAAATGCCAAGAACAATGGTACTCCCTACCCCAGAATCTACCTATTCCATCTCAGCACCCATGTACACCTACTTGTGGGGAGCCCAGTTTCTACTCAGCTAGCAGCTGAGGCCTTAGGAGGAATTCTGGTCGTAGGGCAGCCAGTACCAAATGAGAATATGCAGCTAGCCTCCCATATCCATTGTTTGGGGTCCTCAAAGATGATGAGTACCAGGCAGGCAGAGATGAGGGGTGAGCCTAAGACTGAGAACCTAAAAAAAAGTCCTGGTCTTAAAAGACCTCATGCACTAGCCATACCATCTCTCCCAACAGTGCATCATGAGGCACTTGCAGCCAGGTCCATAGACTTGGTGGTGAGGACTGTCCTCAGGGTAGGTTTTGGGGCACTACTCAGAGGCTATGACCACTTTGGTACAAGGATGGGGTCAGTAAGGGCCTCACCCAGAGAGGGAAGCCCTAGAACTGTGGGGCCCAGAGTGAGGAGATAGGAAATAAGGTTGGCCTTATGGGCACATGCTAAAACAAATGCATACATGTGCTTAATGGTAGTAGTATATTGATGTGCACACACACACATTGACTTGGTTGGTGATTTCTGTCACTTGCCTGCTGGTTAGGATAGGGTCAAGATGGACCCCACTTACTGCCCTTGACAGTGTAGTCTGAGTTCTTACTATATTGGCTGGAACTCCTCCAAGACCTGGTCCCTCTGTCATCAGGGAGTCGACTCCCCTGAGGTCAGGCCTGGGAGAAGGCCAAGGCTGTGAGAAGCCTGATAGATTCCTAAGGCCTCACAGCATATTTGCCTCTGGACATTGACTGTTCACTGGGTAGCCTTGGTGACCTCAGAGCTTAGATATCCCCAGGATCCCTCTGAAGATTGTTCCCAGAACATCTGAGACTCCAGCTTCCTAGAGACAGCATGTGACACAGAGTCATACTCTATACAGAACACTTGGGCTAGGCCCTTAGCAACTCTCCCTCAGCACACTCATGCCCTTTACAATCCTGGACCCTTCAAAGGACTCCATCTCCCTCCTTAGGTACCCACCTTCTCTCTGGACCTCCATTTTCCCTTGAGCCCCTAATTCCCTGAGCCCCATTTTTGATTACTGGTACTTATAGAATTAGTCAGGAGAGCCTCAATCCTTCTAGAGCTTAGGCTCCCTTCTTATGGTAAGACATTGTCCCCAGGTTCCCACAATCCCTCATATCTTAGCTCTTTTTGAAGTTGGCCTTGATCATAAAGACATCCAGGAGCAAAATTGTGGCAGCTTCTGGGGATCTGGACCATTGGGTGCTCAGTGGGTACATCTGGTTGAGTACCTAAGGGCAGCCATTCTTTCCACTATGATGAGATCCCTCCCAGCAACATACCCTCCCCACAGGCCTATGTGGAAGCTCCCATCTCAGGACCCCACAATTCACTGTGCTTGGCCAGAAGACAACTAAACCTCAGGGATGGGGAAGAACCTGGCCTGACCAAAGTGGGTGGAGAAGAGAAAAGACCACTGGGGTTATTGAGTCTGGTCATCAAGAAGGTCACAGCCCAATGGACCTGGGACAGGGCAGAGGCTGCCTATACGACTGCTCACAGTCTCTAGTACATCCCACTCCAGTGTGGCACTTCCTGCCCCAACCCTAGATGCTCCTTGCCCACCAACTCTTTAACCAACACTTACTTCTATTGTGTCACCTGGTCAAAGCTTCTTGAGATCCCATCTTCCCAAAAACACCTGAAGGCTAGGGGCTTCCTTCCTGAAGTATGGGACAAACAGTGCCCAAGCAGGTATCCACAATCTATTGTAGCCAGCCTGGGTCCCTATTATTTTATTTTACTTATTTATTTATTGGTATTTTGAGACAGGGTTTCTTTGTGTAGTCCTGGCTGTCCTGGAACTCGCTCTGTAGACCAGGTTGGCCTCAAACTCACAGAGTTCCATCTCTGCCTTCTGAGTTTAAATTAAGGGATTAAAGGTATGCACCACCTCCACCCAGCATCTCTAATATTCTTAACTTGGCCCACCATCCAGGCTGTTGCCCAGGCCTGCCTAGCCCTGATCTCTCACCCCTACTTCCTGGACTCCAGGACAAGGAGTTCCCCAAAGGCAGTAGGGTGCTGAAGCAGCAGAGGACATTGGTGGGCACAGGTAGATGGGGCAGAAAAGTGCAAATTGGGCTGTGTCTGAGTATGTGCTAAGCTCAGTGAAGGGTTTCTGAGTACACTTGGGACTAGGTGGGCACACTTGCTTTCCAAAGGATAGGGGCTTTGTCTGAGTACCTGAGCATCTACTTTCAGTCTGGAGTCCTAAGACCAGAGGCCTGTGCTGATCCTAGACCCATCCCGACTCTAACCCTTCTGGCTCCCCACCCATTCTGAGCCTGCCAGGGAGAGGCCAACCAATCTCTGGTGTTCAGGGTGTTGAGGGCCACACCCCCAGCTGCCATTATCTGGAGGGTATAAATAAACCTGCTTCAAAGCTCATGGCCTGAGAATTCACACCTGTCTCACTCAGCCAGCTCTTGGATGAACACACACATCCTACCTCCCATTCCCACATACACACAGAAGAGGTGCGCCAGCTAAACCGGTACCACAAGAAGGCTGTTGGCTGTTGGCCTGTGGAGGAACACCTGCCAAGTGGAGCAGGGGCTGAGCCGAACCTGAAGGAGGGGGAACAAGCTCTGCTAGAGCTGGTCAGCCTAGAGGCACAGAGCTTTGCTGTGGCCAGTGAAGAGGATCATGCCCAGGAACTGCTGACTCCCAGCTACCAGGTAAGGCCAGCTCAGCCTGTACTCACCTTTCACCTATGCAGTCTTGGGGTGAGGCCTAGTGCCAAGGAACCAGTCCTATGAGCAGCACAGGTCAGGGGATGATAGCCCTTGTCAAGATCACTGCTGCATTCAGGAAGTAGTGACATCAAATGCCAGAAGGTTGGGGCCCCCATGATATCACAGTGATGTCAGATGATTCACATAGACCCAGTGATGATTCAGCAATCCTTGGGCCATTTTACTTACTCACCCCCTTGGGGTTGACCAGTGAGGCAGGGAGAGGGGTCATCTCTGCTGTGGCTGCTGGGTTCCATGGGTTATAAAGCCAAGGCTTTTGTAGTGAAATACCCTTTTCTGGTCAGGATGCCTATGGCTCCTGAAGTAGCATCCCGGCCCAGGAGAGGTTAGTGAACAGTACTAAGCAGTTGGTGAATTTCTAGGATTCCTCTCAGGGAAGTAGAGTGAGCTGCCAAAGAAGGCCTGGATCTTCTACATCCCACCTTCTCCTTGACAGGCAACTATGACTCTGATATTGGCAGAACAGGGCAGGTGTGTGTGTATCTGTATGTGTGTGTGTGTGTGTTTGTCTGTCTGCTCAAGTTTGTGCATGGGCATGTCTGAGGCAGCCTCACTCCTCTGGCCATTGGCTGGCTAAGGAGCATTTTTAACCCCTGGTCTCTGGCACTAGTCCCTATCCCTACCAAACAAGCTGGTCCCAGAGTCCAGGCTGCAGCTGTTAAAAAACTTCTCAGGCCCCTATTAAGACCCTCCCTGTTTCTCAGAGATTTATGGGCCCAGCTGTTCTCCCAGAGACCTTAGAATCCTTATATATGTGCTGGCAACTCAGATGTATACCATACAAATCAGGGACCCACACTGGGACCAAGTTCAAACCCGTTCCACCTGATTCAGAGCCACAGGTAGTTCATGAGCCTGCCAGAGCCCAGCTTCCAGTTGGTTCAGGTCCAGAAGACCCCAGCTAAGTCACTCCACCTTGGAACTGCCTTCTCCAGATGGAACTGTTAGTATTCTGTGGCATGGGTTCAGCCTTGCAGAGCACAGACTTAAATAGTAGCTGCAGTGGGCCACTTTCATTATCAGCAGGGGTAAGGATGGGCAACAGGTGTCCAGCCATCATGTTGACAACCCCTAGCACATGGCTTCTATTCTTGAACCCTGTCTAGATTGTCCATGCCTGGGGTACCATGGGATTGTTGACCTTGTAATGAACAGAAAAGGATAGGTTACAGTTTGGCTATGGGTGGGATTTTAGAGGTACCTACAGGTGGATAGTGTCCTTCATTAGAATCTTTGGGTCTGATGCTGGATAAGAGAAGAGGAGGTGTGACAGGCTGACTTTCTAGGAAAAGGGCAGCTCATGATGGCCTGTCTCTGTTCCACAGCTCAGAATCATGTCATCAGGCCAGCGGATGTGGCATACAGCTATGCCACCCCACCACCAGAGCAGCTCCACAGCCACAATGCCCAGGTCTCCTGGCCCAGTTGGCAGCCCCAAATCCCCCAGTACTCCTGGCTCAGAGAAGGTGGCCTCCCCACTAGAGTGTTCCATCTGCTTCTCAGGCTATGACAACATCTTCAAGACACCCAAGGAGCTCTCCTGTACTCATGTCTTCTGCCTTGAGTGTTTGGCTAGGCTAGCAGCTGCTCAACCTGCAGGCCGTCCTGGCAGAGAAGCTGTACCCTGCCCATTCTGCCGGCAGCCCACAACTGTACCTGCCGCTGGGGCTCCTGCGCTGCGCACCAGTCGTCAGCTACAGGCCAAGATGCCAGTGCACCTACAGAGGGAGGAGTCTGTGTGGCTTGAGGGTACCAAACTATGTTGTCGCCCCTTGCCCACCACTTCTGGCCAAGAGGCCAGTGGTGTTGTGTGTGTGGATGTAGGCCTGAGCAAACCAGCTGAGCCCACCCTACCTGCACCTGTCCAGGACCCTGCACCCAACCAAGGCTGTCTGGCCCGCTGTTGGGCACGATTTGGAGACTGGCGTCGTGTAGCACTGGTTTCTGTGCTGTTGCTGGTGCTATTTTGTGTGGTGCTGTGGCCGGTGCAGTGCGCACTCAAAACTGGAAATCTGCGCTGCATTAACCGGCCACCTTCAGCCACTGCCACTCTCACTCCTACTACCGATGCCCGCTTTCTTGGGCCCTAGCCAACAACTAGGATCAACACTTGTCCAGGCCAGCTATCCCACTTGCTCCATGGATGGATCCTGACTTACATAGGTCAAGGACACATATGTGTCCCTCAGTCTCTAGGGTTATGTGCCAATGGGGACAAAAAAGTCCTCAAAGCCTCTAAGAAATACAGGCTTCTAAGGCCCCAGAAACTGCCCTCTGACCCTGTCATACAGATGGGGAAAGGAACTCAGGAATGTCTGGTTAGGCTCCTGACCTTCCTAAACATACTGAATTGCCAAAAGGCAGGAGTTTGCCATCCTTCCTTCCTTTTTTTTTTAATTAATTAAATTCATTTACTTTACATCCTGACTGAAGTTTCCATCCTTCCTTTCCTCCCACTCCTCCTCCCCCCATCCTTTCTTAAGACATTTTGCCAGGGTCCTTCCTAGTTCCTTTCTCTAGGAAGGGCTGGACCTTTCCATTCAGTGGGGATGCTGAGCATCTAGTTCTCTTAATAAGAGTGAAAATGAAAAGGCAGGACACCTCTGCCCATGCCACAGCAGGAACTTGCCAGCTGTCTCTGGCCATTATAAATGATACATTTTAAAATAAATTATTTTGTATGAATATTGTTTCTCTGTGTACTCCCTCTCCATCCCTCACCATTCAGTTTGTCCTGTTAGAAAGTCTCCCATTCCACATCCCCACAACCCAGCCTATACCCAGGTGACCTGATTGGATCACAGTAGGACCAAAGTTGGGGACGGGGGTGGGGGGTTGGGGTGGGAGGGTGGGAGGGGTGGGGGGAGGGGGCTTGCAGGAACCAACACTCAATCTTTCCTGGCTTCAGAAGGGTGGGAACAACTCTTGACTTGGCTGCTACCCAACACCATAAAGCTGAGAACTAGTAGGTGGCATGAAACGCTATAGGCCATAGGACTTCTAGCAGACACCCCGCCCCCAGCATTTTTTGGGCCAGCCTGGATACTGAAATAGCAAAGTTTAATATCATGAGGATCAGGGAGAGCCCTGCCCACCTCACAACCACCCAGGTTCTGCCATTAGCCCTGGGAATCCTGTGCTACCAGGTTGAGTGTGGCCAGGGGAACCCAGGCCAGTTCCAGCTTGGGCAGGTCTCAGCCTCCTCACCTCTGACCCCAAGGCCCAGGTACTTCCCTTTCTTACCAGCTGTGCCTTTGGCTAGGGCAGGGAGGAGGTTTAGGGAGGTCCTAGAGAATTTGGGTCCAGCTGTGGGGATGGGGGGACCCCAACACACCCCTGGCTCCAGTGCCAGTAGATACAGAACTGAGAACTTTACTGAAGGTGCCACAAAGCCACAGACTACCTATGATGGGGAAAAGTTCTTCCATGTCCCATGGGCTAGTGACACTGCATCTTGTCACACATAGTGATGCACACAGGTGGAGCCACACCCATGTCCCTGGGAGGGCCAGGCATATGAGAATGCCTATATGGTCACATGAGCATCTCACATGTGCCATCATTCCACAAGCCTTATCCACTGTGACCAAAACAGCTGAATCATTACAAGCACCAGATCCCAGACCACACTGAAGCATGTAGGGTTAAAGGACAGGACACAGGAAGCTGGACTAAAGTACAGGTCATTTCAAGCTCAAACTATCCCTATCCTTGTCGCCAAGGCCACACACAAGACCATACAGTGTCTGGAATTGTGGGCACACACAGGTCGACTGGCAGAGGTCCACATGTAGTCACTTGTCACAGTCCTGGAACCACATTTCAGCTGGGTGGTGCCAGGACACTGGGATCTCCAAATGCTCCTCCCACTGATGGAACCCAGGCTTATCTGGACTGAGGAGCAGGCTCCTACGATGCCTTCCACAGCTCCAGCCATGGTCAATCAGTGAGAGGCACCCCGGGTTTCTCTCGCCACTTGTAGCGCCCAGGTTCTTTTGGTGCACGGTCCTGATCCCTGTCGAGACTCCCCAGGCACCCAAGATGCCACGGGCCGAGTACCGCTCAGGTCCGGGGCTGTGGCTGTCCCCAAAAGGCGCCATTCAAATACTCTTGCTCCTCCCAGTGTTCACTCTGTGGAAGAGACCTGGTGCCAGTTCACCTTTGCACTCTGGCGCCTCCCCTCTCCACCCGTTCGCGCAGTCGCAGCTTCTGGCCTTGGATTACCGACGCCGCATCAGGATGCAAGTCTTCCTCAGCCAGCCTCAATCTGAAAGGTGGCCGGCTCCCGTGCTACTGGTGGAGGTGGTCGTTGCTCGGCACCAACTGGCTCCTTATTCCAGAAGTCAGTGTCTCAATCCAACCCTGGGGACCAGAGAGATGGGGGTGGGGTGGGGTGGCAGGCTAGGTGGGCGTGGCCTAAATGGGGAGGCGCTTATCAGTGGGACCCAAAGGGAGGCAAGGAGGGACTGGATGCCGGGGTGGGGTCAGGGAGGAGGCGGAACCCAGAGAGAAGGGTGGCTCTTTGGGGGAGTGGCCAGCGGGCAAAGGTGAGTCTGGAGGTGGATTCTTAGGGTGGAAGAGGCAAGAGGCCTCTGATTAGTGGGGTTTGCGTTGTGTGGTTCCCGAGTCTGCGTATGTAGTCAACCAGAACATTATGTGCTGTTGGTACGTCCGATACCAGTCCTATGAGGGCCACTTGCGGGTTGTTAGACCTATATGGATCCCTGTGGCCCATCCCGGTCACACTTGAAATAACACTACACACTACTGGCTTTGACTAGCTCATCTCCTCCAGGAAACTTAGGATGTCCCCAGGATACCGCTGGACTTCTTCAGTGGAGCCCGCTGAAGCTCTACTGCCAGTGCTTCCTAGTACCAGGGCAGTGAGCTGGAGCCCCTGCTCGGTTGTGGAGTTCACGGATGAGAAACACGCATTGCTGGGACCCTCGTGGGTGGACACAGAGATGAGCAAAAAGTGATCACTTGGAGGGACTGATGATTCAGGATCAGAGTCAAATAGGAGAGGCAAGGAAATTCTTGGAGTGGGACAGAGACCCCAAGTGTTTTAGGTACCCAGGGAAGGAAAGGGAGGGCAAGATTGGTAACATTGAGTTCCATTTGGGAAAAGCCACTCTTAGGGACTTCTGAGGACCTACACTTTCCACTGCTTCCACCCTTGCTGCAGGAGGAGAGAATCTGTGCCTGGGAAGGAAATAGGTACCACTGAATAAAAAAGAATACCAAAGCTGATTTGGGTCAGGAAGGGCATGAGTGGGAGTGTAAGTGAAGCTGCTCTGGAGCTGGGCAGATCTAGGTCTGAAGTTGAGAACATGGTGTCTTATTTTGGCTTCTATTTATGTGATCAAACATCACAACAAAAAGCAACTTGGGGAGGAAAGGGTTTATTTTAGTTTGCAGCTTATGGTGCATTATGAAGGGAAGTCAGGGCAGGAACCTGGTGGCAGGAACAGCACAGACCATGCAGGAATGCTGCTTACTGGCTTGTTCCCTATGGCTTGCTCAACTTTCTTTCTTCCTTTCTTCCTTTCTTCCTTCCTTCCTTCCCCCACCCTCTCTCTCTCGTTCGTTCATTCAGGGGTTTTTGTTGTTGTTATTTTTGACACAGGGTTTCTCTGTGTAACAGCTCTGACTGTTCTAGAACTAGCTTTGTAGACCAGGCTGGCCTTGAACTCACAGGGAACCACCTGACTCTGTCTCCCGAGTGCTGGGATTACAGGCATACACTACCACCGCTAGACTGGCAGCTTGTTTTTTTATGTCACTCAGGACCACCTGTCCAGGAACAGCACTACCCACAGTGGCCTAGGCCCTTCCACATCAATCAGAAAAATACTCACACAGACTTATCTACTGGTGAATCTGGTGGGGAGCTGTACGATAAAAGGGCCAAGGAAAGAACATCTTGACCTTGACTTGACCCCAAGCCAAGAACAGGGTCAAGAAAAAGAATTCCACCAATTCCTGAGCTTGCCCCAAGATCAGGCCACAAAAATCCCACCAATCCCAGGATACCCTGGAAAGCTCTGCCCTCCCCCAGAAACCCTATATAAAGCCCATCTTCTGCTCAGTTCGCTGCTGCTTCTCACTGGAGCAGAGGCAGCCACTCTCCTATGTTTTTCCTTCTCAATAAAGCTTTCCCCTCAGAGCTATAACACTACAGGGGCATTTATTCAATTGAGGTTCTCTCTTGCCAAATGAATGTAGCTTTGTTGTACCCAGAGTCCCTGAAAGACCACCAAGAGACCGAATCCGATGCAAAAGCAAAGAGTCTTTGTATTGTTACTCGTTAATTCAGGACCCTCCATCCATCTGGCACAGCAGCAGAGCAGGAGAGACCCCGAGTAGCAATGGGGCAGGGTTTTTAAAGCAAAGGGGGCTTGGGGTCTACGGACTACATAGGAACAGACTCAGGATTGGTTTATGCGAATGGCAAACATGTTAGTAACTTTTAATTGGCTAGGGTTAGTTGGGGGTTACAGTTATCCATTTTGGGGCAGGCCTGAACAAGTCCCAGGCTTTACCTTGAGCTGCCATGGAGGCTGGCTGGCCTAGCGCATACTGACTGTGGGAGCTGACTCAGTGGCCCAGGCTTTCACATTGACCCATGCATGTAGCTCTAAGTTGGTGAGGGGTCCCAGACAGTAAACAATTGGCTGAACCTTGAGCGGTCAGAGTACATGCAGAAAGGGAGCTACTGCAAGGACTATGTCTTTTGTTCATGGCCCTCCCAGAAACTGCTTTCTCAAATCTCAGGAAACTGAAATTGAGGTCTGATCTCTGAGAGAAGACTGAGCAGCCTGTTATGGCATCTGCTTGGTCCTTTCAGCTTGTGTCAATTGACAGAGAGAGAAAGAGAGAGAGAGAGAGAGAGAGAGAGAGAGAGAGAGAGAGAGAGAGAGAGAGAGAAAGAAAACAAGCAGAATACATGGCTTTTGTGAACTGAGAAGAGCCTAGGCTTAGATTGTGCAAAATATGTTAAGGGACATGGAAGCCACCAAATCCAGTAGAGTTGGATTGGGGACTCTTAGCTTAGGGCTTCCCCATGCTCAGCATAGACTTGAGAACTCTAACCACACTGACCTATAACTGTTACCCACCAGGCTCACTTGGTCATCACTATACCTCAGTTCCTTCTGAGCCCTGGAGCTGGTACTCAGCCATGTTGCACAGCCACCTTCAACTGCAAGTTACAGTTCTGGCCATTATTGGAAGCACTTGTTCTAGGAGACAGTGCTTTACATCAGCTTGCTCATATGTTCTATGAGCTACACACATACACAGTCACCCATTTCTCAGGGCCCTCTTTTATCCCTAGAAGCAAGGAGTAAAGGAGCTGGCATTCTTGCTGCAATAGTGTCTGTCTGAACAGATAGAATCTTCAGCATGGCTGCATTGATGTCTCATCTCTGAGGCTAGAGCCCATAGATATATATCAGTTTATTAAGGGGTGTGATTGGGGAAACAGATTTACTAATACAAAGCAAGGTAGATGTCCTGCAGATCTGCTGCTGATCCAGCTTCTGTTTTCAAGGCTGATGGGGACCAACTGCAATCTGCTTTCCAACGCCCAATCTCCTCACCCCAAGAGAGAGCATGACCCCCTCTCTCTCCTCTTAAGTGGTCACATTTGCAGACCAGAAGCCACACCCCAATGCTTGTACCCCAAAGCTATTGGTGGAATGAATTCCCACAACACATCTCTTCTTATCCAACATCCTTGATCCCCTGTCCCAACCCCAGAGGATAAGAGTCCAAGGTGGGCACTAATGAAAGACCATCTCCAGTTTTCCTCAGAAGCCCCATGGGGCCTTCCCACTAGGGTCCTTCGGCTGATGGAGCTCCCTCATTACCTCATGGCCTTACGAGGCTAGCAGGGAGAGACTGTGAAAGCTAGGAAGAGCCTGGACAACATCCTGCATAGGAATGGGAAAAATTAAAATTGTCAATTCCTGAGGTGAACTCTGAGTCCTGTGTCTCTGTCTACCATTACTCTCCTTTCCAGGTCCCTGTGCTGCTCACTGCTGCAATGGCCAGGACAAGTAGTAGCTGTGAATGAGAACTTCTAGAAAGAAGCTGTATCCACAGAGACTGATTGATGAATTAAAACTGCAGTACTGTGAAGAAACTGGAATGTTACAGGTCCGGAGAATAATTACTTTGTGTTGGGCTGCTTCTAGTTCTCTGGAACAGCCATTCCTTGATAAGATAAAAAGGTAGATTATTGAAAAGGCAACTACTAATTTTAAATATTTTACATTTGATTGGATTTTTGTATATTGTATACAAATTATGTATATTGATACAAATTTGAGATTGATTTTTGTTAGAAAATACTGTACATATATTTCTAATCTTGTTCAAGGTATTGTACCTATACAGTTCATTTAACAGTGTAATGCAATTTGCTAATCCTTGAAAGTTATTGCCAGCTATTTAGGATAAAAGAAATGTAAGTTAGTAGTTAGTCATTGTAGTCATGTTAAGTATGTTTTCAAGGTAGAGCAGATATATATTTTAAATAGACAGGTCATCTTCAAACACTGCAGAGATCTACAGAATGTGGCATTTAAGATGTTTTAATAACATAGATTTTTTTTATGACTATGAGACATGTCTGCTCCTGGCAGCACCAATCTACTTCAGAGAAGGTAATGGGCATTGAAGAAACTCCATATGGAGTTTACTTTCATTGTGGCAAAAGTTAGCCACTGGGCAAGGAAGTGCCCTTGCCTTGACTGCTGACAGTATGCTGTCCAAAATGGACAAGCAGAACACAAAGAAAGGACTGCTGAACCTTGCCAAGACAAGGTAGGACAGCTCTTTAGAAAATCCTGCTTCACAGATGAGTCTCTCAGATATGCTAGGCCTGTAGGCCAAAGATGGATGACCCAACTTTGCAGAGGAACCTTGGGTGACTGTCCAGACTATTTCTGTCATTTCTCACATTTTTGGAAGTTGTTTGTTTGCACTTCCTCCTTACTCAATTAATATTATTTCCTTCTCAGGTCTCTGAGGGAGTTGAAGATTAGATAGTTATAGTTTTCCTTGTTAACAAATTCAGAACAGAATATGGTGATATTTTATTTGTACTGAAATGTGATTTTATTTGTATGTTAATAAATAAAGTTGCCTGGGGGTCAGAGCTAATAGCAAGCCATAGCAGAAGCCGGGCAGTGGTGGTGGTGAACACCTTTAATCCAGATCACATGACAGGCAGATCTCTGTGTGTTCAAGGATACAGCCAGCATGGAGACATACACCTTTAATCTCAATACCAACCATAGAAGACCTGGAGGTCTGTATAGACAAGCATTGACTAGGAGGTCATGTGGTTGGGTTTACAACCAATGAGAAGGCAGAACAGAAAGTCAATAAAATGACAAACACACAGGAAGTAGCTCTCTTACTGGGGGGAAGGACAGCAGTAGCAGTGAAGGGTAAGAAAGGGTTTTTAACTCTTAGCTATTTTTCTGACCTCTTGGGCTCTCAACTCTGCATTTGGCTCTGTGTTTCTATTTTAATAAGACAGTTACATCTACAACAGAAACTCACTAAAGAGGTGTAAATTGTATAAGTTTGAAAAACATCAAAAGATAGTTTTCGGTTGGTAATACAAGTTAGGATAGAAAGTGAATTAAGTACAACATTTTGGACTCATCAAAATAGGATAAATAATGGAGTTTTTTGTCTGAATCTGTCAAATGTTAATGAACTAGGCATTGTTAATGTATCTCCTCATTGTATATATTGTATATACTTATTATATATAGTTTTTCTTATATTAGTTATAACCTGTTATTATTTTAGACAAAAAAGGGAAATGTGGTGATATATTGTGTATCCTAATAAACTTATATGGGGATCAGAGGACAGAGCCAGCCACTAGATTAGACATAGAGGCCAGACAGTGGTGGCACACACCCTTAATCCTATCACTTGGGAGGGAGAGATCCATCTGGATCTCTGTGAGTTCAAGGCCACACTGGGAACAGAGTCAGGCAGTGGTGACACATGCCTTTGATCCCAGCACTTGAGATCTCATGCCTTTGCTTGGAAAGCACACACGCCTTTAATCCCAGGAAGTGACAGCTGGGTGGAGAAGGGTATATAAGGCATGAGGAAACAGGAACTAAGCAGCAGTTCAACTGAGACCCTTAGGGGTAAGGACTCAGAGGGATTCAGTCTGAGGATTCATGGAAACAGGATCAGCTGAGGAGTTGGTGAGGTGAGGTTGACTGTGGTTTGTTCTACTTCTGATCTTTCAGCCTTCACCCCAATATCTGGCTCCGAGTTTTTTATTAATAAGACCTTTTAAGATTCATGATACAATTCCTTGCCCATTTCTGCTTGGGAACTAACATCATGTGACTAATAGATAAAAACTTTTAGAGCTGGGCAGTGGTGGTGCATGCCTTTAATCCTAGCAATTGGGAGGCAGAGGTAGGCAGATCTCTGTGAGTTCAAGGCCAGCCTGGTCTACAGAGCTAGGTCCAGGTCAGTCAGGGCTACATAAAGAAACCCTGTCTCAAGAAACAAACAAACAAACAAACACCTTTAGACTCTATTAATTTAGCAGACCACTAGCTTCTACTAACCCAAAAGCTTAGTGCCATCCTGGGCCTATGGACACTTTCCCCCATCTCACTTCAACTGCTTCTCTGTTGCACCAGTGTTGCAATATCTTAGGACAGGGGTTGTGGATAACCCTAAGAGCAAGGAGCAGTCCTTCTTAAAGGGGCCAGTCCTTGTTTTCCACATTGACCCAAGTTGACCTTACCTTTCTTTACTAGGAACTGGATGACCAAGGAAAAAAGGTCTCCATATACTACCAGGACACTTACACATGAACTTGAAACGAGTAAGTACCTGAGAACAAGGGGAATTCAGAAAGTGTTTGGAAATATCTCTTTACTTAATCATATTTTTGTTTTTGTATGAAATAGGGTGTCTCCCTGCTGTACTGGAGCTCCCTATTTAGACCAGGCTGAACTTGTGGAAATCCTGCTGCCTCTGCCTCCCAAATACTGGAACTAAAGTTGTGCACCATCACACTAGCTTCTTAATCATACGTTGAAGATAAGAGGAATTAAAATGAATAAAGATGATTTAGATCAATACATAGACACTACTATTGAGCACAATCCATGGTTTACTATAAAATGAAAACATGAGCAAGGTGAATGATTCCTGTAAAATTGTTTAGAATTTGGAATGCTGATGGTTTGGAGGCCCTGTGAGATAAATCTAAGATACCCTCCAGGGATCAACAAACTGCTAGGAAAATTAAAATTCCTTGTCCTCCCTCAGCAGCCCAGCATGAAGTCTTTAGTTCAGAAAAAAAGTGACCAAGATAAAAAAAAAAAAAAAAAAAAAAAGTTTGTTTTTTGTTTTTTTTCAAGACAGGGTTTCTCCGTGAAGTTTTGGTGCCTATTCTGGATCTCACTCCCTACACCAGGCTGGCCTCGAACTCACAGAGATCCACCTGGCTCTGCCTCTTGAGTGCTGGGATTTAAGGCATGTGCCACCACCGCCACCACCACCTGGCTGAAATATTATTTTTGAAGTCCAGAGAACAGCTGAAACAAGGTCATTCTAAGGAAAGGTTAAATCAGACTTCACAGGAGTGCCCAGAGACTACAAACTATCTCCCTTACAACAAGCTTGTAAATTTTTGCCAGGTGGTGACCAGCCTGATCTACAGAGTGAGATCCAGGACAACCAGTGCTACACACAGAGAAACCTTGTCTCGAGAAAAAAAAAAAAAAAGCTTGTAAATTTTCATCTCTTTGCATGCACAATTCATGTGGGGCCTCCTTGTTCTATGGCAGACAATTCAGCAGCCCCGCCACCTGCTGCAGTGGCAGCAAATAAGCTCCCACTACCAGCTGCTCCCAGAAAGCTGCCTGGCCATTCCTTCTATAGTGGAAGGGGTGGGGAAAGTTTGCTTTTACCTTAAAAACATTCTGGCAGTACCTTTGGATACAAAGGATGGACGTGTTGCTTGCTAATGATACACATTGAAGAGCTTTAAAAGTTTCATAACCTGAGTCTCTTAATTAAAAAAGTCTCAAAACTGAGGCTTAATAAGCTGCCAGCCCTCAGTTGGTTAATAAACAACAAACAAACAATGGAGCCTACCAACAGTCTCATTAACTGCCACAGGCTTTAAGTAAGTAAATGATATGGGTCAGAAGAAAAACAAAAGTGTAGGGACTATTTATTACCACTAATTTCAAAATCCTTTGGTTTTATTTTGACTCTTTAAAACTTTTTCATAAGGTATGAATATTGTGATATACTGTGTCCCCCAATATATTGTGCACCCTAATAAAGCTTATCTGAGGATCAGAGGAAAAAGCCAGCCACTATATTAAACATAGAAGTCAGGCAATGATAGCACATGCCTTTAATCTTAGCATTCTGGAGGCAGAGATTCATCTGGATCTCTGTGAGTTCAAGGCCACATTGGGGAACAGAGCCAGGCATGGTAACACAAGCCTTTAATCCAAGCACTGGGTGAGTAGAAAGAAATAGAATAAGAAGAGGTAGGGCATGACCTGATAGGGTTGGGCTTGAATCTTGACAGATGAGTGTGGCCTCATTCTTCTAAGATCGGAGGCAGGCTGTTTGAATTTGGTATCCTCTGAAACTTAAGAGGGCTAGGTCCTGTTGGGATCAAAAGATCATCTTGAGTTGGTGGTATAAATGGCTTGAGATGGGAAAGGTGAATCCAATGAGGGATACCCTTAAGCTTAGCAGCAGTTGGGGACAGCCTGAAGGGGCCTGTCCATTTTGGAACAAGAGCACGGGAATTGTGTCCTAGAGGAGAGAGGAGAACCAGGTCCCCAATGTTAATTGGAGAGGGAAGAGGACCTGGGAGAGGCTGAGGCAAATGATGCTGGGAGAATTTCCAAAGAAAGGTGCAGAGATAGTGTAACAAAGGGATAAGGAGATGATCTGGGAGAGGTGATGGTTGAGACATGAGACCAGGAGGCATAATCGGCCATCCATCCATGAGCTCAAAAGGGGAGATGAGGAGGGTTTGTTTTGTTTTGTTTTGAAGGGCCCTTAATCGCAGGAGAACCAATAGTAGGAGTTTTATCCAATCCGTATGAAGCTCTTGGGAGAGTTTGGTAAGAATGTTTTTGAGGGAACAATTAGTTCGTTCAACTTTGCCTGAAGACTGGGGATGGTAGGGAATATGGAAACTCCATGGGATATTAAGGGCTTTAGCTAGAGTTTGAGAGACTTGAGAAGTGAATTCAGGGTCATTATCTGATTGAGGGAGGTTGGGAAGATTGAGGGCTAGTAAGGTGAGGTTGTCTGTGGCTTTTCCTATTCTTCTGATCTCTCAGGTTTTAAGCCCAAAATCTGGCTCCAGGTTTTGTTTTTTATTAATAAGACCATTTAGCAATTCATCTACAGAATATTATCTCAAAATTTATATTATTTATATATATATATATTAAACTTTTTGTCATATTAATGGTCATATAGAGTACTCACTAATTCTAGAAAAAGGCTTTATCTAGCTTCCTGTACATGATTTCAGGTTTGAGTCTCTATCAGGTAACTAGGAATTAAGTTTTTGTACTCTGGATGTACATAACAAATATTGATCCTTTAACCTCTTCAAGATCTGCTGCATATGACATTTAAAATGTTTAAATTTTCTGCAGTGAACCTTGACCATGCCTAACAGTGACCACTGAAGTCTCCAAAAGGATGATAGGGCCCCACAACAATTACACCAGGACTATGATAACACCACTAAACTGAAAAACACCACCTAATGATCAGCTTTGAACTACAAACTGCTCAGGACCATTTTGAGGTGGCTAGCTGAGATGATACACCCTCACAGACTACTCTAGCCAGGACTTGAGACAAGCCCTGCACTTTTCCATCATGCAGAGACTGGACAATAAATGACTCCCAGGACTTGACAATTAACTCTAATTTTTCTTTTCATATCTCCTAAAGATGCCATCACCCCCAGACAGCAGGAAGTAAATTTAAGAACACGATGCTCATATTCCCAAGAGGTGGGGTGGGTGGTTTTTGGTCTTTCAGTGGGGTATGGATATGTGTCATTGTTTAGGGTGGTTGGTTACAAGTTGTTATTGGTAATGGTTAAAAAAAAGGCTCAACAGAGGAGATTAGATTCAGGTTTCTTGTTTTGAAGAAAAAAAGGAGGGATATAGAAATGATAGGATAAAAAGGTAGATTAGCCGGGCGGTGGTGGCGCACGCCTTTAATCCCAGCACTCGGAAGGCAGAGCCAGGCGGATCTCTGTGAGTTCGAGGCCAACCTGGGCTACCAAGTGAGTCCCAGGAAAGGCACAAAGCTACACAGAGAAACCCTGTCTCGAAAAACCAAAAAAAAAAAAAAAAAAAGGTAGATTATTGAATCTACTCTGAAAAGAAAAAAGGGGGATATAGATATTATAGGATAAAAGGGTAGATTATTAACTCTACTTTTAAAAACCAATTACTTGTTTTAAATATTTTATATTGATATGAATCTTAGTATATTGACAAATTTGAGATTATTTTTGTTAGAACATACTGTACATACATTTCTACTCTTGTTCAAGGTATTGTACCTGTACAACTCATTTAACAATGTAATGCAAATTTCTAATCCTTGAAAGTTATTATCACAAACTATTTAAGATAATAAAGAAATGCAAGTTAGTAGTTAGTCACCTATTACAATCAAACTTGTAGTCATGTTAGTTAGGTTTTCAAGGTCATACAGAGATATATTTCAGACAGATAGGTAATCTTCAAACACTTCAAAGACCTACAGAATATGATATTTGAAATGTTTTAAGAATTTAGACTTTTATTTTTTCCTTTTAATAAATATTTCCATTTTCCAATAGGTGAGAGAGAGGAGGGATTATATGAGTAAGACTTTTCTTGACAGTGAGCCATGTCTGCTCCTGGCAGCACCAATTACTTCAAAGAGGATGATGGGCATTGAAGAAACTCCATGTAGAATTTACTTTCTTTGTGGCAAAAGTTAGCCACTGGACAAGAAAATGCCCTTGCCTTGGCTGCTGACAGTATGCTGTCCAAAATGGATAAGCAGGACACAAAAGAAAGGGCTGCTAAACCTTGCCAAGACAAGGTAGGACAGTCTTTCAAAATTCCCTGCTTCACAGAGGCCAGAGTTGGATTGCCCCAATGTTACAGAGAAACTTTGAGTGACTGTCCAGGCAGAGAGATGTCCCTGTTGTTAGGTAACATTTTACCCTTCTGGGGTCTATGATGGAGTTGAAGACTTGATAGTTATAATTATAGGTTTTCTTAGTTATGATAAAAAGGTAAATTAGATGTGAAACTTTAGACTCACCAAGATAAGATAGATAATAAAATTTTTCTAATTTTGTCAAATACAAATGGACTAGATATTGTAACTGTAATTATTACTTAATAACTGTTTTTGTTGTATATTTACTATGTATATAGATACTATATACATAGTAAATATAAATATTTCCATTTTCCAATAGGTGAGAGAGAGGAGGGATTATATGTATATAACTATTTATATTTATATTTACTATGTTAAAGTTAAAACCTTCCTTTTTAATTAGACAGAAGGGGGGAATGCTCTGGAATCCTCTTGTACACTGTAAAGATTTGTCACTCAAATTTGTTTAATAAAATACTGATTGACCAGTAGCCAGGCAGGAAGTGAAGGCGGGGTGAAAAAACTAAGAATGCTGGGAAGAAGGGTGGAGTCAGGAGTTGCCAGGAAGATGCAGAGGAAGCAAGATGAGAATGCTGTACTGAGAAAAGGTACCAAGCCATGTGGTTAAACATAGATAAGAATTAGGGGTTAATTTAAGTGTAAGAGCTAGTCAGTAATAAGCCTGAGCTACCAGCCAAACATTTACAATTAATATAAGCCTCTGCATCAATTATTTGGGAAGTGGCTGCCAGGTATTTGAGAGTTGCTGAAGGGACAGAAACTTCCACCTACAGGCTTCCTACTGAGATACGTAAACTCACAAACAGATTCCAGTGAAAAAGCAAACTCAAAACTACCATGCTGTTGTTACTGGCTTAAAGATTGTTTTTTACTAACCCTTTACAAAAGAAGCAGGAGAAGGAGTTGGGGAGGGGGAGGGGAGGAGGAAGAGCAGGAAGAAGAAGACAAAGATGAAGACAAAGAAGAAGAAGAAGAAGAAGAAGAAGAAGAAGAAGAAGAAGAAGAAGAAGAAGAAGAAGAAGGCAAGAAACAAGAAGTTTTATCCAACCTGATGGTTTTATTTAAACTCATTCAAATACCTAGCCAATGTCTAGGTCCCATTCCCTTCATAAATTGGAGCCTAGACACCTGTGCTTTCTCTTACAGGCTTTTCTGGATCCTAACAGGACTGGTAAAGCCATACTGTGAACTGATGCCAGAATACAACAAAAGAGGGACACCTTCCTGAATTTCAAGTACATATAAACTTCATATCACTCCCTCTGCCCTGCCCTGCCTCCCCACCCCCATGACAGGGTTTCTCTGTGTAACCCTGGCTGTCCTGGAACTCTGTAGACCAGGCTGAACTCATAGAGATCTGCCTGCCTCTGTCTCCCAAGTTCTGGGATTAAAAGGTGTGCGCTATCACCATCTGGCTCTTCATATCACTTCTTATTCTCACCCCATTTACCAAACTTTTCATTACACTAACACCCTATACCATATTTCATGTATTTTTTTTGGTCACATTACTCAATGCATTAATAATGTAAGCAGGGGCACAGTGAAACATTGAAGTGGACCACTCCATGGGTAATGGTACATGCCTTTAATCCCAGCACTCAGGAGGCAGAGGCAGGTGGACATTGAGTTTGAGACCATCCTGGTCTAAAGAGTAAGTTCCAGGACAGCCAGAGCTATATAGAGAAACTCTGTCTTGAAAAACAAAACAAAAACAAAAACAAAAAAACCATATAAAGCAGTGATATACACAGCACAAAATAGTTCAGCAAGTTGCAGGAGTAACCTTTAATAATCAAAACGGAAATGTGAAATAAAAGGATGGAGTAAAATTTTCAATTTACTTCTACTTAAGATGTTACGTAGCTAGGCACCAAGCATAGTGGTGGATGCCTTTAATCCCAGAAATTGGGAGGCAGAAACAGGCTAGCCTGGTCTACAGTGAATTCCAGGACAGCCAAGGCTACATAGTGAGATCCTGTCTTGAAAAAACAAACAAAAATGTCATGTAGCATCTTACAATGCCCTGTGGGTTGATGCATGCATATGTATATGTGCATGGTCTACATATATGATACATTCTTTCCCACTCATGTACATACACAGAAAATTATTTGCAGTTTGATTTAGGACAATTCTAATGTGCCACTCTGAAGTGTGATCCTAATTAGTCTTATCAATTAAAACCAGGAGTCAGATATTGGGGTAATAACCTGAAAGACCAGAGAAGCAGAGCAGCAGCCACTAGAGACTTCTTACCTCTACGAATCCTCAGACCAAATGGGTCCGAGATCCTGACTCCACCTCCTAATTAAAGGTGAGCCTCCCAAGTGCTGGGATTTAAGGTGTGAGCCACCACTGCCTGGCCTCTATGGTTAAGTAGTGGCTAGCTTCACCCTCTGATCTCCAGGCAAGCTTTATTTGTCAGAACACAAACAAAAAATGTCACACACCATCACTCTGTTCAGTTATTTGAATCACATTTGGATCTGCTTTTTTCACAAAATAGGGGAGAGAGCAGGAACTAAAAAGTGACTGAGATTCCCTTTTTAACTATACACTGATGAGTAGTTTTCTTCTGTAGTAGTTCTGTGAAGGACTGACTCAGTAGTTTTCTTGAGATTTGGTAATTAATGTATCACACACTCATGCTATACTGGAGGAGTAACTCTTACTCTGAAAATGATTTAAGAAATTTCCTGTCCCCATTTTACTGTCATGCCTTGGATTGGCCAGTTGGTTACTCAGGCTCATATTATTGGGAGAATTCTTGGAAATATTCTCCATATTTCCTGAGCCTAAAAAGCCATTCATGTGATGGGTCTCTATCCTTCTAATCCGTGGGATCATCTCACCCAGGGCCTACTGGAAAATTAGTCTGTTAGGTCCAGAAGGTACTGCATTCATTAAAGTATACACATTATCTCTAGAATTGGTTGGTTCTTCTGTACTAGGTATGATGGGTATTCCTGGTGGCCCTCTACATTCTGGAAGACCTACTTAATTCCCAAGAGACACTGAGGAATATGGTATTAAATTGGCATTTGTTGGGTTTGGCCAAGGTCTACCACCATCTGGACCCATGTTCATTCCATGCATTCCAGGGCCACCTTAAAATATTCAGTAGGTCTCATCACATCTCCATTGTTCTGTGGTCCTAAAGGCATCATTCTTCTTGGAGGAGTCATTCTCTGCATTGGCCCATCCATGTTTGGATGTCCTTGTCGTGTAGGTCCATTCTGCTGGGGAGTAATGGCTGACTTCCTGGGACACCTCCAAGTACCTGATTAAGTACCCTCAAAGGGGGCCTTAGACCTCCAGGATACCAAGATGACCTACTAGTATGACATCTCCTGGAAACATGTTTCTTAGCACGGGGAACTGCTGCAGCACTATAATCATACAAGACTTTTGCTTTGCTTGAGTGCTCACAGCAGTCTCTGGAGCTG